GAGCGAGCGCCGCGGCGCCGCGCGGGCGACCGCGGACGACGCGGGAACGCGCAGGCCCAATGCCTTTTGCGTTCCCCCCGCTCACCAGCATCAGGCGCGCTGTTTTGCGCGGGCCGGGTGCGACCGCGGCGTTCCGCCCAGGGGCGCCGCGGCCGCGCGTTGCCCCCTCGCCGCGCGCCGCAGTGGATTATGCCGCAGTGGGCTCTGTCACTGCGACGGCGCTCGCGAGCGGGCCCGCCGCGCCCATCGACGGGGCGAGACGCGCCCGGGCGTTTGTCTCCACCGAAAATGGGAAGAGAAAGGAGCTTTGAGCTGCGCGCTACTACGAACCGGCAGCGCACACCATGCGCCCCGGGCGTTTGCGCGCATTCAAATATCTTGCACGGGCTCGGCCCCGCGCGCTACTGAAGACGGACAGGGACCGACTGTGCAGCTCCCAGGCAAAGGCGCGCGCGGAACATGTCCAACATACCGCCCGCGTTTCTTTCTCGCGCAAGCCGCGCCTCAGAGGGCGCCCGCGTTTCCAGCGGCACGCCTACGCGCGCGCTAAAGCATTCGTCGTTGCAAGAAAGGGGCCCGGTCAGTCCGCGAGACCGACTGCGTGGAACACCAGGGCAATGGGCAATGGTGAGCAGATGTTGTTGACTAGCGCCTTGCATCGCGACTGCTCGAGCTCCCGCTCCCCCGCCCCCCCCATCCTCCTCCTCCTCCTGCTGCTGATCCTCCTCCTCCTTTTCTCCTCCTCCTGCTGCTCCTCCCCCCCCTCCTTCTCCCCCTCTTCCTCCGTTGCCATTTTGTTTCAATTGCCGGGGCGCCTGGGTGGCCAGCCTCTCTCGAAGGGACCTTCTGGGGGTCGATCCCACGCGGGCGCGCAGTTTCTCCTCGCCATGGCGCGCGCTGCCTTCTCGCCCGAGGAACCGCAGGCCATCGGCGGATGCCCCCCCCCCAGGTCGCCCCTCTACGCAATGACCCCCAGTCCATGGTCGGCGAGATCCACGAGATGGACCGGGAGCTTGACGCGCAGATCGCCGAGCTGCGACTGGAACAGCTGAAGATGATGGTTCCCGTGGAGAAGGCGCGCCTAGTTTGCTGGAGCTCCGTCAGTGCCAAGCCGATTGATGAGTGCGACACATCGCAAGAGTTGTCTCCAATTCCGTCTCCGCTGGTTTTCGCCGCCCAGCTGGGCGCCATGCTGATCGCCATGGAGCGCGCGCTCATGAGGGTGATCGCCTCCGCCGCAGAGGCCGCCGCCTCCGCTGTCAGCGCTGATAGTTTGGAGGGCGTTGGCCTTGTTCCCAGCAGCCGCTGCCTGGGCCCCAGTCGGCGCAAGAGACCCAGGCATTCTCCGACGGGATCATCGCGCGCAGCATATCCTGTGTCACCGCGTGCGCGCTGGATCAGAGCCTCGCAGTCGCTCTCCTCGTCGAGGCGGTGGTGAAGTTGGCGTTCGCTGCAAGATCTGGATTCGGGGCTTCACCCGGAAGCTGTGGATCGCGAGTTCATGAACCACCGCGAGCTGCTCAAGGCGGGCGCAGGTTCGTCAAACGGTTGGTGCATCCCCCCAGCGCAAGAGCTACAAGTTATGTTAACATCCGCCCCCAGTCCGACGAGGCTGCCGGGGCCTTCTTCAGCTGGCGCAAGGATGCAGGAGCGGCAGTCCACGTCCTCTGGAGGGATCCTAAGAGTGGTAAGGAGATGCCGCTTCGAGTTGGGCATGATCAGCCTCTCCACGTTCGGCGCGGCAGTTTCGCCCTCGGCAAGTCCCGGGAGATCACGCGCGCCATCTTCGACGAGCATGGCAAGTGAAAGGGGTATTTTCGCCGTGGCTCCAACCCGCACGCTGGCGCGCTTCACTTGATTTTTCTGATGATGAGGAGACCTAAGCTGCCCCCTGGATCAAACACCAGAGGTGGCCACTGCGCATTTGCATTCGCGGCGATGCCAGACGCTAAGATTTTCGAGATTCCCGCGGCCGTTCTGGACGCGTTCCCGGCGCGACAAGGAATCTGCCTGGCGGCCCCGTTTAGCGGGGCTGGGTATTTCTGAAGGGCATGGGCAGTTCCCACGCGATTGTCATCCGCATGTCCTGGGATATGTCGCCGCCGCCAAATGGAAGATGAGCGGCTCCTCCTCTACTTGTGGATCGCGTTCTTCCTCGCGCAGCCCCCCCTTCCATGCCCGTTCGCTCTGTCTTGTGTCAGCCCCGGCTTGTCTCGAGTTACTTTTCTGGCACATGCTGCAATTCGGATGCTCTCTATGGATGTCTGCGCTGTAGACGCGCCCGTCAGTGTAAGAAGCATTCGTGGTTTAATCGTCTCTTTGCACAGTGCAAGGTAATCATATCACAGAAAACTCACGGGTCCATAGCCGACCTCACAGTGCCAGATAGAGAGTATACTACACGTGCAGTGCCTTTCTCCGTTACGCGTGACATAATTGGCCCACGTTGTGCAAGTTCCGTCAGGGCACCGTTAACTGCGTCATCGAGTGCTGCGCTCTCGGCGGAAATAATTCATGGCTTAATATATACGACATGTTATACTTTTGCGGTGGAGGGAGGTTTGGGCCCAAAGGGGTTCAGTGTCTCCCGACCCCCGTGCGCGCGCGTTTTCTCGCGAGGCGCAGCTGCAAAGTGCGCTCGTTGCCCGCGAGATGCCTGGCGAAGTCTGACCAAACACAGGCTCTGACGGATGGAATGCTGCCCTCGTCTCGCCCGTTGCTTTGCCGCCTGCCCTCGTCTCGTCCTCGTCATCGGAGGCTCGTGTTCCTCACCCCCCCCGTCCTCCTTGTCCTCCTCCTCTTCCTCCTCTTCATTGCCCCGCGCGCTGTAGCGCGCCTTCGCGCTGCGCTGGGATGTTGCGCATGTGCTTCACCCTGCCACTCTTGCCGGCGCGCCGTCCAGGCCCGGCGTCGCGCGCGCGTTTGCGCATTTTGTCGCAGCCGGCCCGATTCGATTTCGACTGTGTGACGATGCGGCCCGACCGACGCACTTACGCACTCGCTCCGATTTCCCGATCCGACGTTGGTCGATCCTGTTCATATTGGGCCAAGCCGCATTCCACCCCGCCCCTGTCACCCCGCGGCTTCGCGACGCCGCCCACGACTGGCGGGGCGCTCTGAAAAAGGACCTCGCCCTCAGCTGGATCCAGGAAGGGCTTCGACGAATTCGAATGAAATTGAAAGAGGGTTTCGCTTTCGGCCTCCAGGAGGCCCGTGCCGGGCCTGACATTTGGCGCCGTTCACGGCTTCGCGACGCCGCCGCGCCGCGGCCCGCCAGCACTGGCACGCCCAACGCGAAAGCGAGCGACAGGGCGCGCGCCGCGAGCAGCGCCGCCCACGCGCCAGGGCGGCCCCCGAGCGGCGGCCCGATGCACAGCGCGAGAGCAAAGCGCATTTTCCCGCGGGAACTCGCCGCGGCAGCGCTGGCGGCACGCAGTCCGCGGCCGCGCGCCGCCCCGAAGGCCCGGGCCAGAACGCGGGGGGCGAACGGCGCGCCCAGCGCGGCGAGCGTTTGCACGAGCTACAAGCCCGAGACTTTTCATCCCAGAAGCGCCTGGCACAATCACTTGCACGGCCGCGCCGCCGGCGACGCACGCGGCAGCGAGCGTGGGCGGCGGCGGCGGCGGCGCCAGCAGCGGGGCGAACAGGCGCCCGCGCCCGTGGAGCAGGCGGCGCGGCCGCGCGCAATGATGCGTTAGAACAGGAAAAAACACATAAGCACACAGGGGCTTCATTAGTTTTACGCCGGAAGGGGGCGCCGTTGAGTGGGCGCCTGGCACGGGCGCGGGGATCGGGGCGGCATCGGTGTTTGGAGCTGGCGGTTTGCGCGGCAAGCGCGCGTAGCTGTTCGCATTTGTTCGGGGCGCGTGACGGGTGGAAAGGCCGCTCGCCAGCAACTGGCAGTCCTCTGCCCGCGGGCCAGAACAAATCGCCGCGCGCTCGCAGCGGGGCGCGCGAAAGGGGGCTGGGAAGAGAGCGTAAGTCTCATTCCCAAGAAATCCCTTCGATACGCAGCAAACAATTCTTTTTCTATTCATCTGCCGCACGGCCAACCAAACGAACGAACACTTGTCTCGGCGCGCAGCGTTAGCTTCGCTTGCGCGCATCCTGGCTTCCTTCCGTTGTTTCCTTCGCTTATTTCTCGCCCTCCTCTTCCTTTTCTTCTTCCCCTGTTTTGCCTTGTTCCGCCCCCCATTCCCTTCCAGCTCGGAGCTGTCACCGCGCGCGAAAAGGCACCACCAAAAGGGCGTTGCTGTAATTCCTTTGCGCGCCACGAAATCTCGCGCAATTCCTTTGTGCACGGTCTGGTTGCACTGCCAACGCGGGGGGCACACAAAGGAATTTCTTTCGTGTACGATCGTTTTCGCCGCCCCCACAAGAGCACGCGCGATTCCTTTGTATAGAGTTTGCTTTCCCGCCTCGAGGAGCGCGCGGGGCCTGGCGCTAAAATCACAAGGCCGCGGCGCTTGGCAGTGCGATGCAGCTGCGCCGGGTACCGCGCCCAAAACGATCCGACGTGGATTTCGGCTCATCTGCCGAATTCGCGCTGGCAGCTGGCGCCACATCGTCTGCCCTGCATGCCCGCGAGCACTATTGCGTTCTGCTGCCGCAACGCGTGCTGCTGTCAACGGATGAACAAATTGACGTTGCACGGTGGTTTGGTTTTGCCAAACCACCATGGAATGTTTGTTGGTCGCGGATCTTGGGATATTGGCGCCGCCGACAGTCTTGCCACGCCAGACTTGCAAAGTGCATCTTAGAGCACGGCCGTGCATCAACCATGGTTCGGGCCGGTGGGGATCCAGTGGCAGGTGTGCGCATGCGTTGCACCGTTGGTGGTGCCAAAACCCTTTGTGTGAAATTCCTTTGTGTGTATTTTTTTCTGGCTCCTGATGTGGGGAGGAAGGAGGGAAGAGGACGAGGACGAGGACGAGGGAGTAGGCAACCCCATCCGACCAGCCCGGGCACGGCCCCCGGAACTCTGGGGCGGCGACGCCCAGGTGCCCGAGTGGCTGATTCCCCTGGACCTGCTGAAGCGCTTCGTGTCGGAGCGCGGCCCGTCTTCTCCCCTGCGGGCCTTCTGGGGGTTTCTTGCCATGTCGGAGGGGCCGATCTGCACCCAGCGGCGAGACGCTACCTCTCGAGAAATGCAGATTCAAATTCTTGGAGCTCCGCGCGGATTTCTTGGATCGGCGCCGGGCTCCCCTGGCGGCACCTGCGGCGCAGCCCTTGGCGCGCTCCGCGCGCCAGAGAGAGAGAGAAAGGACCCAGCGCAGATCCAAAAAACCTGTGCGGAGCTCCGAAAGTTTATGCTATGCTGTTGGTTTTCCTCCAGAGACGCCACCCCCAGGCTGGCCACCAAAGCCCCCCGCTCGATATGGCGCTCCGCTGGCGGCCAGAGTGTTTGGGGAGTTCCCTCGCCAGTGCCGTTGGAACGCCGGGCCCCAGCAACGGATGTATCTCGGCAGCGCGCGGAAGGGTGGCATGTCGATCTTTTTTCTTCCCCCCTTCTCATCCTCCTTCTGCCCCTTTGATTCGCTGGCGCAGTGTGTGTCTGTGAGCGCCTGAACTCGGGCGTTTCCCGCCCGCGCGCCAGACAGGCGCACGGCCTTCAGTCCGGTTCGGCTCAGCGCTGGAAAGTTGGCAGGTGGCAGGCGGGCGCCACCTTCGCGCGGTGCGGCGTGGGGAGCCAGCCTTTCGCTCTCTCCGACGCCTCCCCTCCTCTGTTGCCGATCTTCCCACATGCTTCCTCCCTCCTTCGACGAACAAAAACAGCTGCATCATCCTAAACTGTCGGAGGTTCGCCCGGATTTCTTTTATCGGCGCTGGGATCCCCTGGCGATGCCTCCAGCGCCGCGCCTGGCGCGCTCCATGCGACAGGAACAGGGGTCCAGCGCAGATCCAAGAAATTGTTCGAAATCCTGGGGACCCAACATCAGGGGCAGCATTAGCGGGAAAAGGCTGAGGGGGAGTGCGGGGATACATCGACCCCCAAGCGCCCATTTATCGCCTGCAGGTGCCCGACAGCCCGCCCTGCCCAGGAGGAGCGTGCGGATGCGTTGTCGGAGGCCAGTCGCCGCTCTATCGGCGATGTATCGCTGACGCCAGGTCGAGGTGACCCCCCTGAGCCAGTGCCCCTCTCACGTTCCCCTTGCCAAGAGGGCGGAGGACGAGGGGCGCAGGAGGAGGAGGAGATGGGGAAGACTGGATGAGGAGCAGCAGCAGTAGCAGGGAGGAGGAGGAGGAGGAGGAGGAGGAGAAAGAATGGCAGAGGACTGGCGTTGCGATCCAAGGGCTCTAGCCCGTGCAAAATGGAAAGGGGGGAGAGGAAGAGCACGAGGGCGAAGGAGGAGTAGGAGGGCGTAGGGAGGATGAGGCTGGAGGAAGGCAGGAGAGTTGAAAGTAGCAGAGAGATGGCTCAAGATGAGAAGGCTCAAGAGCGAGAGAGCTCAAGTAGCAAGGTAGCCCGTTACAAACAGGGTTGAGCCTTTCGCCGCGGGCGCGGCCCCGATGGCGCTGGTGCAGGCGCGCAGGACAGCTTAATTAGTGGATTTTCTTCCCAGGGGGGGTGCTGCCAATATTGGACGTGGTGTCGGCTTACGTCCAGTATTTTTTCGGGGCGTCCCTGAGGCAGGTGGTTGAACCTGCAACTGACTATGACTGAATCCAACAGCTTCAATTACGTGTCGTGGAATACCCAGACGATGCAAAAGAGCCGGCGCAAGACGGTATGAATGGCATTTCTTGCAGATACCCTTGCAATTTTGTCGGGGCGTTGCAAGAGGTTCTGACTTGGAGCTTGTTGCAGTCCAGGGATCTCTGCAGCAGGACAGTTACAGACTGTGGTTGTGCCGTTGTGTTTCCCAGCGATTACATGGGAGGCGCATTCTACGCATTGGAGCCTAGTGTTGTTGCATCGTTTCGCATTCGTGTCAGCGTTGGATTATCATCTTGGACAGGGTGCAACATTTGATGACATGTCCAGTGCCCTTTTCAATGCCAGCGCGCGTCTGCGATCCCAGGGCTTGGAATTGATCTCCTTCGTAGGCGTTGATGCGAACGTCAGCCGATCGAAGCCTAGTTCAGGGCACATCGGCCCATGTTTGCCTACACCGTTGCGGTCGCACGCAGTACCGATGCAGGTTTGTTTCACGCGCTCCGTGATGTCCAGTGGCCTCTGTGTGCGTAACAAGTTCTCTCCGATGCTCGTACCCCGGCTCCTTTGCATTCGATTCGGACGTAAGAGGACCACACGAGAGCCATCATTGATGGACTACGCCTTCTGCCCCCTTGGCGTGCAATATTGTGCGACACCCGATCACGCAATTGAGTTCTGCCCGTCTTCTCGACAGGACTTGCGATGCTCTGATCACATTCCCGTGGTCATGGACGTTGTTTTGTTTGATATCGATGTTCTTTCACTGCTCCAGGAGCCAGATCTGCCGTTAAGGAAAGCGCAGTTGAAGTTGGATTTCTCTTGCATTGTGACGAAGGCCAAATACCACCATTGCGTTGCCAAGCATGACCGGGATTGTACATTTTTGGCTGATGTAGTTGATTCGCTGGCAGTCGCAGTTGCACAAGTCGGGGATTTTCTGGAAGACTGCAAACACATGAGACCCCCGATACCAGAGCAGACGGCCAAGCAGCAACGATGCGAGCAGCACGGAGAACCAGACCATGGACGAACGAGAAGGCAGATAGGTTGGTTCATAAAGAGAACGTGCATGGCATCTTGTCCCCTTTAGCTAGGAGTTCTTGGGTATTGGACACGCCGCCACCGATCAAGCCAAAGGTCCAAGGCAATATATTGTCGGATCGGAATCAGTGGGCTGAGGCTTTGCAGGACATGGCGCAATGCAAGTTCACCAGTACGGATACCAACGTTTATTATTTTAGAGCGGCGGTGGAGCGAGTCCGAGGGCACGCCATACGTTGCCAGATGGACGTTGCACCGATCGGGATACCAAGTTTCACTGATTTCGCGGATCGGTTGATCCGCTTGACCAAGGTTTCCGTGCTTGGGCCAGGCCAGAGCCTCGGGAATTCTTGGGTTGTCGTTTCCTTCTGGTTGAAGTTGAGAATTGAAAGAGTTTTTACCATTCGATTCCAGAGCGCGCGCTGGCAGTCGGATGATTTCGAAACGTGGCGATGTTTTGTTGCGTGGCACCCCAGAGGGCACTTGTCCGAGATATTTCGCTGAGTTCAGATGGTCGGGTATTCTGAATCACTTGTGTAAGCTCGATTCCGCCACCATCTTTGCCCCAATCCGGAGATCCATTCGTCCGATTCGGAATGTTTGAGTTTTGGTGATCATCGAGGCTGCTCTGACGACGTCCTATGCGGCATCTTGTTCGAAGCGGTTCACTATGCGAGCACATGGGCCGATTGTTTTTTTTCTTGGGGGGCCCAGCACATGGAGGTTGCTTACGACGGGGCTCGACATCGAGACGTCGTCGAGTCACCCTCTGAGTTTGGCGCCACGCCGCATCAGGCGACGACACTGTCCATGGAAGTACACGGCAACCGCGTGCAGCTGACGGTTCCGAGGGTGGCGACCACGGATCCGTTGGAAATGACGAAGGCTTTCCGTACTGGAGGCAAGTCGGAACGTCACATGTTTTGTTGAGTTTCGAGGAGTGTCTCATGATCTTGGGTGCCGGGTGGGATCGATATCAATTTGGGTTGGAATTCAACACATCAGGCAGGAGGATTACGTCGTTGTTGTGGGTTGACAATTGCTTCACATTTGCGTAGAGTTTTTGAGTAGTATGTTGTCACGATTACGCACTTCTCGTCGATTGTTTATCAAATGTTCGAATGGCAGTGTAAGCCAGCATCGTTGGAGACTATCAGTCCCAAGCGATTTCGCACGGACCAGACGTTTGTTGTCACCATTCCAGCTTGCGCCTTGGAGTACCAAGTTCGAGATGTCATGGTTGTTTTGGGCGGCTTCTTGGATGCAGCGAGTCAGGGCAGGGCATTGATCCCGCACCGCTTAGCCAAGAGAGACCAGTGCGTTGCCAAGTACGGCCGTCATTTCTACAGCAACAGAAAGTGGGATTCAAATTGAACGTGTTTGCCGGCTCCCCAAGGCGCGGTGCGAGTTTATTGTTTTTGGTATATCATTGAAACACGCGTGATTTCCAAGAGGTCGTTCGATGGGAGAGTCGGCGTTTCGTTCGGATTTTCCGCTTGCGGAGGAAGCCCGAAGGTTCGACGTTGGCATCCAATAGACGAGTGCGCCACAAGATTCGAAAGTGGATGTCTTGCTTCAAATACGTCTCGTTTCAGGCGCATGCCCTGCAGCGCGCGTCTGACGCGAACGTACCGTCGCGGAGACGCTGTCCACGGTGCGCACGGACAGATCGGCTACGGCTTGGGGCGCAGAGAAGGACGTTCCAATTGCCAAGTGCCGGGAACTTGGCGGGACGGCGCACGAGCAGCAAGGGCCATTCAGTTCTTTCGGTGATACTGTACAGCTCGGTTGGGGCCCAGCGCGGCGCAAACGCTTACGCGATTGTCCTGACAGGGAGATTTGGCGCAAAGAGTGCGGCAAACGTGTAACAGAGGTTTGTTCCCAGCTCAATATGTCATCCCCTTTTCCTGGAAGGACGACATCCCGAGCGCTCATGTATTCTCATTGCGGTTTAATGCGGACATACAGCGGCTTTCTACATCTGGAATTCGTCGCTGACAATGCCACCGTGGTTGTATTAGCGAATGCGGAGGTGCAGGTTTCTAACCCACTGTATTCGCTGTGCGCCGACAGTATTTCGGATGGGCTGCGAAACCTATTATCCAATGCGTTTTGTTTATGATTCCTTGTTTTGCCGATCGGCGCGGGCCTTCGCCCCCCCCCACCCCACCCCACCATGGAGTGGATCTTGGCTGTTTTGGGCGCCTGTTGCAAGCAGGTGGAGTCCCTCCCCCATAGGACGCATTGTTGCAAACAGTCGCAATAAACAGAAGTCCAGAGCCAGACCCCCTCTCCCCCCCCCTTTCCGCCCAATGTCGAAACGCCGAATAAGAACACGTCCACAATGTATTGGATATTTTGACCCCAAGGCAACGTGCATGAACCTGGTCCATTGTCGACCTACGGAGTATGAATGGCTGCCAGACATGTTGCAATTGGGTCATGGGTGCCGGGGATGACCTTGTCAACATCAGAGTGGATGTTGTTGCCTGCAGATTCATTGCGACGGAGGCTACAAGGTTGGACGTGGCGCTGCCGTCTTCGTGGTTCACCTACATCGACCTCGATGTGTGCAAGTCTAAAGATTGGGGTACGTGGGCGTTTATTTGGCAGCAGCACGTTCTGTATTTCGTGCCGAACTTACTGCGTTGCAGACGGCTGCAATCTGGCTTCGAGACAGCATGTTGACAACTATGCACCTTGCACGGATGGCGTGAAGAGTTCGATTCCAACTAGTTTTTGTATTCGATATCTTTTTGGCTTCCCCTTTAGATTCTTGTGCTTGGCATCAAGGTCAATTTGATAGTGGGTGCGTCTGACAAACCATGTCCCCCTCAGCAGCAGTGACGCACCGCACATCTCACGGCACGAGGCGCCAGATGAGTCAGGGCCCAAGTGGTACCGTAGGAGAGTTGCCCCCGAACCTCTGATGATGCGCAGGGGCAGGGACGAGGGAAAGATGGAGAGACGAGGGACAGAGGGAAGAGGCGGGACGGAGGTGGAGAGATGGCCCCAATGCAGTCACAGGAGGTCGTTTGAAGATCGCTTGTCATCGCTCCCTCCCAGTCTCTCTCTCTCTCTCTCTCTCTCTCTCCAGCCTCCTCTTCCTCCTCCCCCATCCCCCCTTCCGCCTTTTGTCTCCCCCTCCCCCTCCTTCCTCTGGAGTTAGGAGGCTGCCGTACTGCATTGGAGATGGAAGAGGAAGTAGGGTAAGGGCGCCCAACGCAGGGGCGATCCAGGCCCCCAAAATGTGTCGGACAACCGCGCCGCATCACCGACGCATCGGCGATGCGGCGCGACGTGGGGCCCGATCTTCTCCACACCGACGGCGCCGATGCACATCAGACGTCGCCGATGCATCGGCGACTCATCGGCGACGTACTCGGACCCCATTTGGAAAGCTTCTAGGGAAGGAGGGGGAAAGATGGAGGATCGGGGCAACTTCGCGCGGGGACTGGCCCAGTGGGGGAAGCATCTACCCCCCATCGTCCATTCATCGCCAATTAGGGCTTCGGTGCCGCAACCAGCCGAGGAACGGGAGGTCGGTTTCGCTATCCAGATATCCTCGCCGCTCTATCGGCGATGTACCGCGGATTCCAGGTCATTGTTTCCCTCCCTCGAGCCAGTCCCTCCTCTACCGCCCCCCATTCAGGGAACAGGGAGCACCTCCCTTCCCACTTCGAGCTCTCTTTGTCGCTTCCACAGCGCCCACCCCCCACCCCACCCCCACACACCGCTCCCACCGCGAGGACATCTTCCGAGAGTCCCTGCGGCGAGTGAAGGATCGCCGAACGATATCGGCCTTGCTTTCGCCGCTGCTATATAATCCGTGCCTCCTGAGGGTCATGTTGTCCAGATGCAGTAGGGCCACTTGAGGGTCAGGAGGGGCTCTGGGTTGTTGGACCGTTCCTTCGGATCTGGGTCGGGGAGCCGATCCGTGGCCGTGACACGCCTTGACCATACAAACTAGTTCTTTATGCAGTGTTCGTTCTGGTGGCACGGTGATCGCGCTGGGCACCGCATTGGAGTCCGGGAGGCTGCCAGGGGTCGTAGGAGCGTTTGAGTTAACCACCCGCGTTGGTGGAAATTCGTTTGTTGCAGAACGCAAGACACTGTGAACAATTGCTTGGTGCTGAAGATGCGTGTCTGCCGCTGCAGGCACGGTGGCGAATGCGCAGCATGTCTCGGCAGAAATGGGCATTCGCATTACATTTGAAGTGTCACGACAGGAGGCCCCATAATGTAGCAGTGGGTCACCATGAGGAAGCGGGGCGTTGAGAGAAGGGGTGGGGAGGGTGGAGGGTGGGGTGGGAAAGGGGGAGGAGCGCATACCAGGAGGGTCGGAATGGTGAGGCGTGGGATGAGCACGGCGCGAGAGCAGCCCGATCTCCACCGAGATCCGCAAGGTATCCACGGCCTATTCCCACCTCTGGTTGCGTGCCGCATCTTCCTTCCTGGAATTTAGCAGGAGAGGGTTAGGGGAGGAGGAAGGGGGGGAGGTTGAGGAGAGGGGTGGGGATGGAGGAGGGGCAGGTGGGGGCGGGGGTGGGGGAGGACTGAGGTGCAGAACAGGGGCCGAAGGCTGTGGAGGAGGAGGAGGAGGAGGAGGAGGAGGAGGAGGAGGGGGAGGAGGAGGAGGAGGAGGCGGAGTAGAAGAAGGGAGAGGGGGAGGGGGAATTGGAGGTGGAGACATGGGGGGGAGGGGGAAGGAAGAGGGCGAGGGGAGGAAGGACGAGAAGGAGGAGAGGGGAGGGAGGTCGGCTGGGGCCCGCCCGCCGAGGCGAACATTGTGGACCACTGGGCCGAGCTCGGGTGCGCCTTGCCCGCCTGATCCGCCTCGTGGCCGCTTGGAGCGCCCTCGTCCATGAGGATCTCGTGCACGGAGCTGAGAAAAAGACGAAGGACGGCACGGCAGGTTCGCACCGTGTAGACGCGGCGGCGACCCCGCCGTGGGTGTTCAAGGTTGAACGCCGCAAGTCTGGAACGATTTGGTTATCGGAAAGCCGCCGATCGTTCAAGGTTGAACGATTCCCACGGTGTCAGAAACCAACGCGCAAGTCGTCACAGCACGAGTTTGCAGTACACAAGCAGGCAACAGTCTTCCAGGGATTGTTGTTTGTTTGTGTGCCGTCCTCCCCTGCGCTTGGGCTCCAAGTTGACCGAGGCGCCTCCCAGGGCTTGGGAGGCGCCTCGATGACACGGGACCAGCTTCACTCGAGGGAGGAAGGGTGAGCTGGAGGAAGGATTTGTCGCTGGAGGGGTGGGGGCGTTCCCCCTCCCGCATCGCCTCTCATCCCCACCATGCCTTTCCCTCGATTGGTTTTACGTGGTCCCTGTGGTCACGCTGCGTAGTCATGATTGCTGGCGTTGGCCTCGAACAGTGAGCTCTTGCACTGGACGTATACACATAACAGGGCACCAGGTCCGGGGGCCGGGGGCCGGAGCCACGACCACAAATTTGGGGCCCGGCGCGCCGGGAGCCCTGCCAGAGTGCCGGAGGCCGTCCAAGATCGCCCGAAGATGGCTTCGGAACGCTCGCGCTCCGATGGCTCCTCATGCCTTTCAAGACGATTCCCATGACGCCAAGAAGGCCCCCGAAGGCCCCGAAGACGCCCCAAGAGGCACCCCGACAGAGCTCCAATAAGCAAACATCGTCGATTTCCTGTAGGAAAACTTCTTACCTAACAGCGAAGACTGATAGGTTTCTAGTGAGGTCTCGAGAGCACTTGACACCCCAGGTGGGTCTGGGCGGGATCCGGACGGGATCCGGTGACTCCTTTTTTAGCAAACAGTAACGCACGTCGTGGTCTTCGAGTTCCCAGAACTCCATTCCTGGGTATGAATTTGAATGCCCGGAGCCAACTGTAGGCCACTTCGTGTTCTTCGAGTTCCCATAACTCCATTCCTGGGCATGATTTTGAATGCCCAGAGCCAACTGTAGGCCACTTCGTGGTCTTCGAGTTCCCAGAACTCCATCCTAGGCATGATTTAGAATGCCCGGAGACAACTGTAGGCCACTTCGTGGTCTTCGACTTCCCAGAACTCCATTACTGGGCATGATTTTGAACGCCCGGAGCCAACTGTAGGCCACTTCGTGTTCTTCGAGTTCCCAGAACTCCATTCTCGGGCCACACTTTGAATGCTGAGGCAGGCTGATGCTGAGGCTGAGGCAGGCTGAGGCTGAGGCAGGCTGAGGCTGCAGGCTGCAGGCAGACTGAGGCTGAGGCTGAAGCAGGCTGAGGCTGAGGCTGAGGCAGGCTGAGGCTGAGGCTGAGGCAGGCTGATGCTGAGGCAGGCTGCGGCTGAGGCTGAGGCTGATGCAGGGTGAGGCTGAGGCAGGCTGAGGCTGAGGCCGAGGCTGAAGGCAGACTCGGGCTGAGGCTGAAGCAGGCTGAGGCTGAGGCAGAGGCAGGCTGAGGCTGAGGCTGAGGCTGAGGCTGAGGCTGAGGCTGAGGCAGGCTGAGGAGGCTGAGGCTGAGGCTGAGGCTGAGGGCTGAGGCTGAGGCTGAGGCTGAGGCTGAGGCTGAAGGCAGACTGAGCTGAGGCTGAAGCAGGCTGAGGCTGAGGCTGAGGCAGGCTGAGGCTGAGGCTGAGGCAGGCTGAGGCTGAGGCTGAGGCTGAGGCTGAGGCTGAGGCTGAGGCTGAGGCTGCAGGCTGAGGCTGAGGCAGGCTGGAGGCTGAGGCCGAGGCTGAAGGCGGACTGATGCTGAGGCTGAAGCAGGCTGAGGCTGAGGCTGAGGCAGGCTGTGGCTGAGGCTGAGGCAGGCTGATGCTGAGGCAGGCTGAGGCTGAGCCTGAGGCTGATGCAGGCTGAGGCTGAGGCATGCTGAGGCTGAGGCCGAGGCTGAAGGCAGACTGAGGCTGAGGCTGAAGCAGGCTGAGGCTGAGGCTGAAGCAGGCTGAGGCTGAGGCTGAGGCAGGCGAGGCCGACGCAGGCTGAGGCTGAGGGCTGAGGCTGAGGCTGAGGCTGAGGCTGAGGCAGGCTGAGGCTGAGGCCGAGGCTGGCAGGCTGAGGCTGAGGCTGAGGCTGCTGAGGCTGAGGCTGAGGCAGGCTGAGGCTGATGCGAGGCTGAGGCGACGGCAGACTGAGGCTGAGGCTGAAGCACGATGAGGCTGAGGCAGGCTGAGGCTGAGGCCTGAGGCTCATGCAGGCTGAGGCTGAGGCAGGCTGAGGCTGAGGCTGAGGCTGATGCAGGCTGAGGCTGAGGCAGGCTGAGGCTGAGGCCGAGGCTGAAGGCAGACTGATGCTTAGGCTGAAGCAGGCTGAGGCTGAGGCAGGCTGAGGCTGAGGCAGGCTGAGGCTGAGTCTGAGGCAGGCTGAGGCTGAGGCTGAGGCTGCGACTGCCGTTGCCACTGCGATTGTCATCGCGAATGCGACTACGACTGCGAGAACAGCAGAATTCTACAACTGGATTCTCATCTGAATCTTAAGGGGAATGTTTCCAGATATGCTGATATGCTCCTACACATCGCTGTTAGGTTGCTTTGCCGGGATAATATTTTTCGCGTCCAAGGGACACCCAAGCCGGTCGAGGATGCCCCCAAGAGGGCCCCAAGACGGCCCACGAGGGGGCCAGGACGGCCCACGAGGCGCCCAAATCGCCCAAGAACGCCCCAAGGCGGCGCACAAGACGGGGACGAGGAACCGGAAATTCTCGCCGTTTGGCCCAAGAGACCCCCAGGAGACCCCAAGAGGCTTCAAGAAGCGCCCCAGAAGCCCCAAGAGGCCCCCATAAGACCCGAAAAAACACCAAAAGAGGCCCCGAAGACGCCCCAAGAGGCACCCCAACAGAGCCCCAAATAAGCAAACATCGTCGATTTCCAGCAGGAAAACTTATATGTTTGGCGTGTTCGCCTTTTGGGCTTCCACTGCGTCCAAGACGGCCCAAGAGTCACCCAAGGCCGTCGAGGATGCCCTCAAGAGGGCTCCAAGACGGCCCACGAGGGTGCCAAGACGGCCCACGAGACGCCTAAACCGCCCAAGACCGCCCCCCAGGAGGGCCCAGGAGCCCCCCCCCCAGGCAGCCCAAGTCGGTCTTCCGACGGTTCTCGAGGCTCCCAGGTGGCATCCAAGAGACCCCAAGAGAGGTCCGAGAGGCGTCCCGGGACGGCCCGAAGAGGCCAAAATCGTAGATTTTCCTGTGTTGTTTGTCCATGTTGTTGGCTTCTCGCGTTTTCGGAGCTTCCAATGGTCCAAGAGCGCCAAAGAGGATCCCAAGACCGCCCCAAGACCACCCGAGAGACCCTCAGGACGGCCCTAAGACGAGCCAAGACGGCTCCAAAACTGCCGAAGAGGCGCCCAGGACAGCCCCAGACCACCCCAGAACAGGCCCAAACTTGGGCCAAGGAGCGGGAGCAGGAGGCTTCCAGAGACCTCTGAGAGGCCTCTGGGACCCCCCAGAGGCCCCCAACACACCCCCGATGCTTGAGAGGCCCCAAAATGGCTCCGACGAGGCTCCAAGAACAGCCCAAGAGAGCTGCGAGAGCTGTTCCGAGAGAGCCCAAATAGGATAAAATCGTTGATTTTCAATGGTTTTTACCTAACAGCGAAGACTGATAGGTTTCTACTGGGGTCAAAAGAGAGCATCCTGATTCCCCAGGGGGGTCTGGGCAGGATCCGGACGGGTGCCGCGGGAATCCAGGGACTCCTTTTTTAGCAAACAGTAACGCACGTCGTGGTCTTCGAGTTCCCAGAATTCCATTCCTGGGCATGATTTTGAATGCCCGGAGCCAACTGTAGGCCACTTCGTGTTCTTCGAGTTCCCAGAACTCCATTCCTGGGCATGATTTTGAATGCCCGGAGCCAACTGTAGGCCACTTCGTGGTCTTCGAGTTCCCAGAACTCCATTCCTGGGCATGATTTTGAATACCCGGAGCCAACTGTAGGCCACTTCGTGGTCTTCGAGTTCCCAGAACTCCATTCCTGGGCATGATTTTGAATGCCCGGAGCCAACTGTAGGCCACTTCGTGTTCTTCGAGTTCCCAGAACTCCATTCCCGGGCCACATTTTGAATGCTGAGGCAGGCTGATGCTGAGGCTGAGGCAGGCTGAGGCTGAGGCAGGCTGAGGCTGAGGCCGAGGCTGAAGGCAGACTGAGGCTGAGGCTGAAGCAGGCTGAGGCTGAGGCAGGCTGAGGCTGAGGCTGATGCTGAGGCAGGCTGAGGCTGAGGCTGAGGCTGATGCAGGCTGAGGCTGAGGCAGGCTGAGGCTGAGGCCGAGGCTGAAGGCAGACTGAGGCTGAGGCTGAAGCAGGCTGAGGCTGAGGCTGAGGCAGGCTGAGGCTGAGGCTGAGGCTGATGCTGAGGCAGGCTGAGGCTGAGGCTGAGGCTGATGCAGGCTGAGGCTGAGGCAGGCTGAGGCTGAGGCCGAGGCTGAAGGCAGACTGAGGCTGAGGCTGAAGCAGGCTGAGGCTGAGGCTGAGGCAGGCTGAGGCTGAGGCAGGCTGAGGCTGAGGCTGAGCAGGCTGAGGCTGAGGCAGGCTGAGGCTGAGGCTGAGGCTGAGGCTGAGGCTGAGGCTGAGGCGAGGCTGAGGCTGAGGCTGAGGCTGAGGCTGAGGCAGGCTGAGGCTGAGGCTGTGAGGCTGAGGCTGAGGCAGGCTGAGGCTGAGGCTGAGGCTGATGAGGGCTGAGGCTGAGGCTGAGGCTGAGGCTGAGGCTGAGGCTGAGGCTGAGGCTGAGGCTGAGGCTGAGGCTGAGGCTGAGGCTGAGGCTGAGGCTGAGGCTGAGGCTGAGGCTGAGGCTGAGGCTGAGGCTGAGGCTGAGGCTGAGGCTGAGGCTGAGGCTGAGGCTGAGGCTGAGGCAGGCTGAGGCTGA